AAACTATTATATTTAGAAATGTGCTGAAAAAAATCTTCTCTCCATTAAACAGAAATTGGGGGAAAATAAACAGGGGGGCTAATAATATGATGTGTAAAATATTGTGTCCGTTGTGTCTCGTCTTCCTTCTTTTTTGTCCTCGGCTGATCACATGCCAGCAAATTTGACCATCATTTACTAACTTACTAAGTTTATATATTTACACACACACATATATATATATATATATATATATATATATATATATATATATATATATATCCAAGACATTTAATATTTTGGTCTTTATTTACATGTACAATGTGCCAGTTTTTCAATAAAAAAAAAACGTTACAAATTTCCTTCTCTTCGTGACACAACTTAGTTTCACAAAATCTGACAATCGCATATCAGCATCTAAATGCTGCAGTAAGCTGGTTTATCAAATTTCACTTACTTTAAAGCCTTTCGATTCAGCTGTTTGTTGAGCTTTCGTGTCCTCACACAAAGACAAAACAGACTAATGCAATAGCGAATGCATTGTGTAATATTTGAATTTCAGCTGTGCTAATTTGGATGTAAGGTATTATTCAAACGACTGGCTTTAAGTTATGCATATAAATGGTTTCTATTTTGAGGACGTTTTGTATAGGTTATATACTGAGTATTAATACACTTTAACAGCAGTGTTTATTTTATTTATAATTGATAGATTTGTTTCTTGGAAATTACTTCTAATAAGCAAAGGGAGACTACAACAAATAAAACAAGAAAACATTGAATTACATGTGCATTTATCTACAGGTTGTGTGCTCTTGTAACCATTATCCTTTATCAGCATACAGTCATTTAACATTAAACTGGCAGACACAGGTAGATTTTATTTTTACTGTTTTTTGTCCAAAGGTTGCTGGTTTGAGTCTTGGCTGGGTCAGTTGGCATTTCTGTGTGGAGTTTGCATGTAATCCCCGTGTTCGTATGGTGAGAAAGGAGAAAGGGAGAACCCGCTTAACGCTCCTTTGTCCTTTTTTCACTTCCCCTGCACACTTCAGCACAGACCGGGCTCATAATGCCACCCTTCCCACACCAGTTTCTACAGCATGCCCCCCATTTACCCTCTCCACAGCCATGCCCCTCCTCACGCCGCATAATGATCTCGCCATGATACCTCTCCCTTTCTATACCTCTACAAGAAACCAAGTTCTCCTAGAGGTTTTGGCGATTGGCTCCAGAGGTGGACCCTCATCCAACACCTGTCCCTCACTATTTAGAAATGATATTGCCATGAACCACCTTCAATATCACCTCCATGATACCTCCATATCCCTCATTTTACAAGCAGTTGCCCCCAGAACCCTTCAGTCATATCTTACTGCATGTTGTTCATTCAAACCCTGTCACTCCCTTTACAAAACAGATTTTTCCCTCCTTTCCATCCCCTCATTCATTTCTCACCTATACGTCTCAAAAACATACAAGCCAATTCAATCAGAAGCTACCACAGGGGACTTCAAATTTTCCTTATAAGTTGATCCACAGGTCCACCTCAGACTTCATTTCTCATTCATTTCCCAAACCACCCCCCTTATCAAAGTTATCCAAAACCCCACCCCTCCACCCCCAACCCTAGGCAACCCCTTACTCTACATATACTGCCCGAATACAGAAGCCTGCCCACCCCATCTCTGATTCCTGCAGGAGTCTGTTTCTAACGTTCTCCGGTTTACTCCCACAGTCCAAAAAACACGCAACCAACGAAATTGAACGTACCAAACTAATACCATAGGCAAGCTATTAGCAAGCCATACATCTCTACTTAGCCATCCATGTATCTGTCATTAGCCAGAAATAACTCAGGGGAGTTCATCGAGATTGCCTGAGCTCAAACTCCCCTCTCGCCCTGCTAACGTGAGGGAGTCCAGGGCTCGAGGATCTCATAAGCTCAGGGCTCTCTCGCAGGACAGCGTGCCAAACAAGCTTTACAATCAATCATCAGCTAAGCGTGAACTCTTAAAATGTTTTTTTTTATTTCATCTTTCTATTTTATTTCATCTTTCTATGTCCAGACCATCTTTTTGTATCTGAACTTGAGTACTCTGTCATTGCCTAACCTAACGGTTTCTACACAAAGTTTTATAAATGTCATATCTTTCAAGTTTATTTTTGCCATGCTTTGTATTGTTTACTTCTGACTAGTTAATACAATTGCTCTTGGGTTGATCTCAGCTCACCGTCCACCTAGTTTCTGCTTAGAATTTTTTTCCAGACTTGCCCACTGCAAATGCATTTTTCAGGAGCAGGGACATCTGGAGGTCTGTATGGGATTTTTTTTTTCTATCCTGGTACCATATGGCTTTATTCTGGTTCCACCTGTGGAGAAGTTTTACTTTGTGTTCACCTGCTATCAACATAAAAAGATTTCCTTCCCAACCTGGCTGATCCCCAGAAACATATTTCTCATTTTCAGAATATCAACATTTTAATTACTTCTAGAATGACAAAGAAATTGAAAATAACAAATACACAATGTTGGTATAATCATTTTATTTGTTTTGTCTAATCAAGACAGAACTCATTTAACAAAGTTTACTGCCAACACAGTAGAAACATGAAGTAGACAATGATTTTTTTTTATTATTATCTAAAGTACAGATAAATAAAAACTGAATATATTTACAAAACTACAAATTTTGTAAATATATTTACAAAACTACAAATGTCCATACAAGAACAGAAGCCCATTCCCTGATAGTTTCAGGACTATTTCCTCTACATCTGTTGACAAAGGTTAGATGCAGTTTGCATATGATGAAAAGAACTTTGTCTCGCTAGGTTGCTTAGGGCATTAAACTGTGGGAACATCAAAGCTGATCATTGTATACTGAGTAAATAAAATGTGTAGGGTCCTCTAACCACCAGGGGGCAACATTGTCATCTAATATTATACAGTACAATGACAAGACATGTTTAGAAGAATTGAGCTTTATCTTTATTTCAGCTTCCAGTGATTGTAAGAATGTCTCTGTCACCCTTATGTAAACCTCCAAATTAATAAATTCATGTAACAATAGCTTCTGAAGAGGGAAAATGGACATGTTAGAGATTTTTGTGTGTGGATGATGTACTTGTACAGTTCTTAAGAGGTTAGTTCTCCAAAAAAACTGCGTGAGATTATTTATTCTGTTGAACACTTACTCGCTCAATCACTATCCTTTGGCATAGTCCCTGAATTATCAGGGGTCACCACAGAAGAAAAAAACACCAATTACTCTGCAACCCAGCTTTGGGCAACACCCACAAACTCATTTACACACATATTCATGAACTACAGCCAATATATTCCAATTCACCTCTAACACAGGTCTTTGAACCGTGGTGTAAACTGAAGCACCTGGAGGAAACCATTGTAACCACAAGAACATCCACAGAGAACTACCTCCTGGCCCAGCCAAACTCGAACCACAGACCATCTGGCTGGGAGGCGACTAACCACTGAGCATTTGTTTCGAATCACATAAAGGTTGGTACATTTTTTCCTCTTTGGGTAAACTATCCCTTTAAGGCACAGGTGTCAAACAAAGTTTCTTGAGAGCCGCCGCTCTGCACACTTTAGTTCCAACTCTAATTAAACATACCTGATCAAACTAGTTGAGTGCTTTATTCTTGTTTGATACCTACAGATATGTGTGCATGTGGCCCTCCAGGAACCACCCCTGCTTTAAGGGGTATCAAGGTGGCTCAGTGGTTAGCACTGGTCTCACAGTTGCTAACTTTAAAATTAAGGAGCACCACAAGTGTAACAAATCCATGCAAATGTCCAATAATAAAAATATTTCAAGAGTTCACACTTAGCTGATGATTAATTATAAAAGCTTGTTTGGCATGCTGTGCCGGGAGAGAGCCCTGAGCTCATGAGATCCTCGAGCCCAGGGCTCCCTCCCGTTGCAAGGCGGGAAGGGAGTTTGAGCGCAGGTAGATCTCGAGAACTCCCCTGCTGTAGCAAGTGAATGCTCTTAAAATTAATTACTAACTAGAAGCGTGTCTATGTTGACAATTTGGATTGTTCAATTGATTTAATTGCATGTTTTTAGGCGGTGGGAGGAAACCGGGGAACCCGGGGGAAACCCACGTGAGCACGGGGAGAAGTGCAAACTCCACACAGAAATGTCTGCTAGTTTTGGTAAAGCCAGGAACCAGAGACATTCTTGCTGTGAGGCGACAGTGCTACGCACTGGGCCACCGTGTCACCCGTCTAAGAAGGAGGAGTAGGGGAGGAAGGGGGGACTCTTCAAAACGAAGATAGCAATGGAATGAACCCCAGGGTATTTATGGTAGTTTAGGAGTCATCTGATTGGTCGTAGTGAATTAGATAATGCGGGTCAGCTGCTAGCAATCATAAGCACGTGATCCTCTTGAAATTTGTTTATACATAAACTTCACTTAAATGATATCGCTTCATATTTTGCTCCTCCCTGGTAAATCTTATTTATCTGTCGGTAAAATGCTGTGTTCACACCAGACGCGGGACGCGCATCAAACCCCGCTTCATTCACGCATTAAATCCGCTTCATTCGCGCGTCAAATTCACTTCAGAACAGACGCGGATTTGTGTGTTGGGCAGGGCTTCTGTCTGCCCGGTGACTGTAGCTTCATTGCTAAAAAGGCTAACAGGGATTTTATGAAGAAAATAAGAGTGTTTATGTACTTTATGACAGCTGAAAAACAGCGTCGATACGTTTAGGACCGTGTCTGAGTCCACTACATGCTTTCAAAGGTGCATCCAGCTCTGTGAGCTCATAAACTCCTCCAGAAACTGAACCTAGATCACGGAGGCTTTCAATGGTGCTTCTGACTGAGCCAAGCCCAGTTTGATGACTTGTTGTCGGTGTCGCCTGGAGGATTTCCCCCAGGACACCATCAACAGGTTCTACGTCACAATCACGCCCCCACAAGAGCAAGCTTCTGATTGGTTTATGCGGCGGGAATGCCCGCTGAAGTTCAGATTTTCGAACTCGAGAGATTTGCGCGAAACGCTCGTTAAGTGCGTCAAACGCGCAAAACGCTCAATTCACCTAGCTCGTATCGTGCTATTCGCACCACGCCATTCGCGTTATTCGCTCTGCGCGGATCGCGCCGCAGGATGTCAACATGTAAATCACTCGCGATTGACGCGTGTTCCGCGTCTGGTGTGACACAACATAAGAGAACAGCCCTTGAAATAGACTATAAATAAGCCTTTATTCAAGTTGGTCAAGTATAAAATGAAATGAGCATAAATTTACATGGAAGTGTCTTAAAGAGCTGCAATAATGCACTGAAACCTATAGAATACTGTGGCAAAGTAAATGTTCATATTTAAAGATATGGGGTGGAAGAATGTGATTTAATCCAGAAATACTTGTTAGTTGTGAAACCCACTTTATATCTCTATCAGGCAGTGTAGATCATTCAGTTTGAACAGTGCAGTTAACGAGTTCCCACTTATATGAAGAGGTTAAAGAATAAGCTTGGTTGGCGTGTTGTCTAAGATGAAGGCTTCATGCTCAGAATATTTGGCCCAAGTCCAGTATGGCTGCCTAACTTACCACAGCTAAAATCTACCCACATTTGGCGGGTAAGTGGGTGTCAATGTCAAGCCATAGTCAACACTCATTTATTCAATCCTGTAATGAAGTGCGATCGTAACAGAGACAAAGAAGTGGTAATGCTTGGGAACTCGTCCGAAAACAATCTCCTCTCAACATTACAGACACATACCTAAATAATATGTCCCTTATTTATGGACAGTTTTGACAACTAATTAAGTTAACCTTGTCTCTAAATGCCTTGCAAAAGAAAAAGTAAATAAGTGGATCCAATGAGACATTCAGTGCTGCAAGCAGGGCTGTCACCTCTTTTAGGATGTGCAATGCTTGAATTGATGTACAGTCATTCAGTAAGTGTCTGATGAATATGTAGGGTAGTCTTACTAGGTGATAGGGCACAAAGCACACGCAGAAAATGACCACTAGCACTAGCATGTTTTGCTTAGATTTTCTGAATTTTTGCCTGTTGAATTCAGCCTGTGTAGACAACTGAACTTCCCTGAGCTTTTGAAGAGTCTTCCAGTATAAAAAAATCAGAGAGACCAGAATAAAAATGAAAATGACAAAGCTTGCAGAATGGACAGAGGTGTATGCCGCACTGATCTGGGAACTGTCCTGGAAATCACAGATAAACACCTCAGGCTTTGTTTTAGACCAGGAGGTGCTGAGATAGAGGATCACATAAATAGATGATATAGCTAACAAGACGAACCAAATAGCTCCAGAAATGTAGCGGGCAGTACGAACTGTCTGCAGAGTATGAGTCTCCAATGGCCGGACAATCTTCAGGTACCTAGAAACGACATGTAATTCCATTTAAATTCAGTTTCAGGAACAGAACCCTGATCCATATGTGGCTTACTATTAATACAAATAAATAAACATATATTGTATTTAAAGATGAATTTTTCAGAAACCAGTTCTTTTCAAAAGCATCTCTTTAGGAATTCATCTCCATAGGAGTCTACAGGAATAAAGTATTTGCCATCTTTTCACACTTGCAAGTAAATGGAGCTCAACTTCAGCTGCCAGATAATTTTGAGCCAATTTGATTAATTGCTAAAATTGCCGTTTGACAAATGACTATTTTGCAGTAGGAACTTTGTATCATAAAGTAAGTAATAGTCACTTTTAAGAGTATATATATATATATATATATATATATATATATATATATATATATATATATATATATATATATATATATATACTCTTGTCTTGCAAAGAAATTAAGTAATGACAAGAATGAGGTGCATACCTGTTTATTGCTATGAATTCCATGAAGAGAATGCTTGCATACATGTTGATGTAAAAGGCTGTTGCTCCAAAGCTGCAGTAAATATTAAACATCATTATTGTAGAGTCGGCATAGGATGCAATCCGCAAAAGTAAGGAAAGGCAAAGGAAGAAGTCAGCTGCAATGAGGTTATTCATGTAGACTGTGATGCTGGACTGGACACGCTGATCTGAGCAGAAATGCACGGCCAATGGAAAGCAGTTCAGAACCAGACTGACGAGAAACACAAGCGAGTATGCAAATATGAAAACTTCATTTGCTGGGACTTCACAAAGAGCTTCTGTTGTGTTCGTCATGTTTGGGTTAAGGGTATAACTTGTGGTTGTGGTAGCTGCAGACACTTGAAACCCCATCTACATAAAAATAACAACAACAAAAAAAAAAACTTATTTAAACACTTAAACAGTAAACTCAACCAAAGCTCACTTACAAAATGTAGATTTTTCTTTCATGTCAGACAAACCTGAAATGGTAAAGAGTGTTTCAGGCAGGGACTACACTCTGGTTATTGGTGTGAGGAAACTGAATGATGTCTGAGACTGCCCTCTGATTGCTAGAGACCAGGCATCTGAGGCCTTACACTAAAATGTTTTAGTTTGTAAACGCATAAGTTTTACTACGGTTACACCATCCGTCCACAGTACGCCGGAGTTTTCGAGCGCCGAAAACGGAGCGTTTTGGAAATGCTGGAGAGGCCGTTTAGACATTTGAAAGACATCTGAAAACGGAGGCGGGCTGCTGAGATTCGCTACCTGATTGGGGCTTTTGTGTCATTGCGTATCCTTCCCTTATTCGTCAAGCCTCTATCACATGACCATAACACATGGCTTTAACGCTACCGGAAGACAGTACTGTAAACAACAACATGGACACAGAAATGGGAGCGTTGTTTGCCGTATTACCTTTTTTAATCGCCATTGTGCAGTTATTCATTTGTTATGTTTAGTAACAACTCGACCTCATCGTTTGTCCACAAAAATACCTCTTTAGCTTTCTTTGCTATTGCGTTTAATGTTCAACCGGTGTTTGTTAACTAACAATAACCAAATGCCGAGCGAGACACATGCTTCCTGTTTATACTAGAACGCGCATGCCCAGAGTGCGCGAATGGTCACGTGATGTACGTTTTTGGTGGCGTAGTGTGGACAGAGATATGTTCAGAAATACTAGTTGAAACGCTAGTGTAGACGCGGATCGTTTTTGATCTAAAAAGCCGTTTTAAAACTAAAACGCACTAGAGTAAACGGGGCCTGAGAAACTTTTCAGTCAACTGGTTGTCCCTCACCATCTGACTCAGCAGCCAAATTTGCCAGCCAAATAGAAAGTTCACCATGACTTTATATAGTGACTTCATATATGACTTTATATTTACTTTTAGGATAGTAAGACAATGTACAAGAGGGATCATTCGTAAGAATAATATTTCTCCACTTATATATACCTTTGAATTCACCAGCATGGATTATGCTGCACTTTGAGCTAGACTTTATTGTACGGATGAAAGGGATGATAAGGGAACAGTGGGATGAAGGGAAAGGGAAGTAAGAGGATAAACAGTGAACAGGTAGGTAGGTTGATCGGGTGTTCTACAATGATGATCAGAGACTCGGAGTGGGGGTACTGTCACTGTAATATTTTGGTAGAGTAATTGCCAATTCAACCTAGGAGGCAAGAGAGGGTTATGGGATTGTTAAAGGGAAGCAAGGAAATAAAAGGAGGGAGGGTGGGTTCGAGAGAATGAGAAGAACAGTGCTGGAGAGCTGGTCTGCCTTAAATACGTTTTTAGGGAGTAGGTGATTGGTTAAGGTGTGGTTGAGAAGAATCTTAGCAGACAGAAGTCAGATGTGACACCTGTGCTGGCCACAAGGATAGTGTGAGAGGTAAAAGAAGAATCCAAGAATCACCACCAAGGCTATCCTGATTGATCTGGACTCCGCTGGTGGCAACATTTCAAGGCAGACAGTCCAATGGACACTGCACACCAAAGAGTTCCACGGACCCTGACCAAAGAGGACACCACTTCTCCAGAGAAGGCAGCCCGCTTGGCTTTAGCAAATGCTCTTCTCGAAAGACAATTCTGGTATTCTGTTTTTTAGTTGAATTTGGTCAGACAATTGTTTGACCAAAATGATGTAGCCTTCAAATGGCGAAAATAGAAGAAGCCTTTAACCCCAATAACACCGTATCTACTGTCAAACATGATGGTGGGAACCTAATGTTTTTGGTGTGTTTTTCAGTCGATGGACCAGGGAACCTAATCACAGTAAAAGTAAGTTTTAGTCCATTCACATTTCAGCAAAACAATGACCCAAAATGCTGAAGAAATGATTAGCAGACAAAAACATTAACATTTTGCAGTGGCCCAGCCAGAATCCTGATCCCAGTCAGAATCCATAAAGCTGAGAGAGAAAAAGGGTTTTGTAAACATCTGGCAAACAGCCTTTTTTACGAGAAGCACCACTAGTTACCATGTGTTCTCTTGGCCGTGGACAGACGTGTGAAAACTCATTGAAAAAAGTTGTGGCATAAAGAGGTGGGCTGCTTGTCCAGTGTCTGACTCCCTCCGAGTCTTTAAAATCTCTCTGTGAGCAATTGTACAGGTGTTGATATATCTGTACTAGCTCTGCTACTCAACTCTCCAGTGTATTCATGTGGCTAGTGTTGTTGTGCTGGATGCTATTCTGACCCCTGTGGAATGTGAAACGAAACAAGGAAAAAAAGTAGCACAGCGATGAAGGCAGAGTTTTAATGAATACACCCAGAGTTTACATAATCGCCACGGACCAGTGGTTGCTCAGAAGTGTGTAGGAGCCAAAATGAACTCTACCAACAATTTGCTGTGGTGAGCTGTTTTGAACTGTTGAAACAAACTCAAAAAGAACTTTGTTTCCATCTGATTTTCTTCGAAATTAAGCAATTTCAGTTTGTTCTTCAATTTTGCTTGAAGTATACCTGGTCCTTAATATAGATTTACATGCCAAAAACATTACAAAGATATACTGAAGAAAAATGGTAGCCTTTATTGTTGAAAACTGGTAGCCATTCACTTCCATAGTATTTTTTTCCCATTTAAAAAAATACCGTTTACAACTACATTTGTTTTAAAATATTTATTTTTGAGTTTTACAGAAAAAAAGCAAGTCAAAAAGTTTGGAAATCTGAGGGTGAGAAATTGGTGAGTGAATTTTGATTTTAGGGTAAACTGCAACTATACCTTCAATACCCCAGCTAGAAATGTTTAGGTCTCTAAATGTTCTGAGAAGATTACCAAGCAATATTGCTTTACTGTTTTCGGTAGGTAGTTTTTTTTAGGTTCCCAGTACATTATCCTAAAAGATAGGAAAACATTTTCTAGAAACATTCTAACCACATTCGCTGGTAACAATTGTAGAACATTGTATTCTAAAATTCTTATAACATTGTTAATGGGTAGTTCCCAGAATGATCTCTTTTACAGTAGGAAAACATACATTCTAAATACGTTTCAAAGTAACATTGCTACAACATAATACTCTAACGTTTCAACTAATTGTTTAATTTCACTTCCCAGAACATTGTCTTAAAAGATAAGAAAGCATTCTCTAAAATATTGTAACCACATTTGGTAGTAACGTGGTTAGAACCTTAGGGCTAGTTTTAGTTTAGTTCACAGAATGTTCTTTTGAAAGATTGGTAAACATTCTCTAAAACATTCTAAACCTGTTTAGTGGGAACATTGTTGAAACATTATATATTACATAATTATAACATTCCAATGTATTTTTTTATTTTGCTTCACAGAACGTTCTTTAAAACATTCTAATCCAGTTTAATGGTACATTCTTGTGCTCTTTCTATAACATGTGTAGCAAAAAAAACAACAAAAAAAAGAAAACTACTTTTAAAATCAGGTATATTTAAAACAAGAATAATTTGCTGACACATAATACACATTTTACTAATTGAATGAAATACTAATCAATTGTCACTTTAAATCTGTATGCTTTGCCACTATTTTTTTAAACCACTAGATTTTACTTATTTGTCTGCAAATTTGTTTTTGAACATGACATTTTATTTATTTTAATAAGTACAGGTTAACATTAGTATGTTCATTGTCTTTCTTTCTCGTTATTGAAAAGAAATCATGTTCTTATAACATTTCTCTAATGTGACTGTGAGAATGTTCTTACTTTGGTTTTTACAAAACATTGTGAAAACGTTTTCTAAAAGAACATTGTTTAATCTGGTCCCTTACCAACATCACTAGAATGTTCTTGCCAATTGTTTTGGTAAAAACATTTTTTGAATATTCATAAGATATTACATTGAAATGTTTTCTTTAAAACATTAACACAGCCTGTAGGGAATGTTAGCCAAAGTTGAGAGAATGTTCCCTTCTAGCAGGGACTCCTGCATTCAAATATTTATAGCATTTAATGTTTTCATATCTTTCATAAAAAAAAAAAACTTTACAAATTTATTTTATGGCAGGACCTAGTTTTGCATTACTGCTTATATCAGTATTAAATATATATAAACTTCAATTTACTATGTGAATTGTAAAATTGTAAACGCTGCAGTTGGTTTATCAAATTTAACTTACTTTAAATCCGCCCGTTGATTCAGCAGTTTGTCAAGTTTCCGAGACCTCAAAGCAACTGCAAACGAATACTGATGCTCGAATGGTTATATTTGAATTTTTGTGGTCCTAATTTGTATATACCATACATTATTCAAACGGCTGGTTTTAAACACCAGAAATAGGCATATGAATGGTTTCAATTTTGAGGATATTTTCTTATTTATTAAGTATTAAAGTGCTTTGGATACAGAAACAAAGAGCCATGTTTATTTTTAAAATGATTATCATTTATTGTTTCGCTTGTTGAAAATTACATCTAATAAACAAGTGAGACGAGGAGAAAAAAAACAAAACATTGCGCATGCAGAAATACACAGAGTGTGGAGTTTGCATGTTCTCCCTGCCTTCGCGTGGGTTTCCTCCGGGAGCTCCGGTTTCCCCCACAGTCCAAATACATGGACAGGTGAATTGGGTAGGCTAAATTGTCCATAGTGTATGAGTATGTGTGTGAATGTGTATGTGAATGTTTCCCAGTGATGGGTTGCGGCTGGAAGGGCATCCGCTGCATGAAAACTTTGCCTGATAAGTTGGCGGTCATTCCGCTGTGGCGACCCCGGATTAATAAAGGGACTAAGCTGACAAGAAAATGAATGAATGAATGAAAGAAATACACAGAGGAAGGTGACCAGCATCAAATATTAATATACTTTATTTATTTATAGAAAAAAGATCAGGGGCC